CTGTTGTTTACATAATTTGATTAAAGCACATCGCGGCACATAATCAAAACTGACATGATAGGTTACTCCAAAGCAAAGTTCTTTCCGTTTCAATTGAAATTGAAAATTATAGGGGGAGCACAGACATACATGTATGTATTTTCGGTATGCGTATGTCCACACAAAAACATACATATCTAATTTACGTACACGTTGAATTTTCAATTATCACCACAGCCGCAGTCGTAACGACTAAATGTGCTATGTATGGGCATATACGATATGTATGATATATATATATAAGATATGTATGATATATATATATAATGTCAAATGCGAATTGAATGAAAGTATTCCCCTCGGATGTGTGTTTGTATGTATGCGTTTCTTTATAGGTAAATATGAATACATATTCATGTGCGCAATTAGATTATTGTCGTTTTGAATTTTTGATCGTGCATATGATACTGAATGTACTATGTTCTCCAACATTTTCCACTATTAAGCTACATTTCATTACAAGATTCGTAAATCCTAGGCCTTTTGTATATGAATTGTGCTATAAAACATTATTATCTTATTCATAAAAAATTATATTTTAAATTAAGATTTTTTGTAGTCATATATAGCATTCCGAGAAGACACTGAAACCTTGAATAATATAAATATTTTATTCGTGGAATAATAATAAGAGTATTGGGAGAAAAAGGGATTATGAAAAAGGCTTTAAAAAATTGATAAAAATATATATAATTTTTTGCTATAAAATGTATATATATACCATTAATTCATAACTCTAATCTTCCAGCATCGTACGGAAATATTCGAGAATACCAGCATTTCCCCAGCACGTTAGTAAACCTACTCTGCCAGCCAATCGACTATATCACTAAACTCTGCATTCTTATATAGAACCCATGGAGAACTGGGAGTTCAAGTCGGCGCAGCGTGAGGGTTCCAATGTACTGGGTCTGGTCATGTTCAGCGTAATACTGGGCACAACAATCGGTCGTATGCGTGAGAAGGGCCAACTGCTGCAGGACTTTTTTACAACGCTCAGTGAAGCTATGATGACAATAACATCGTGGGTTATTTGGTGAGTGTGCAAAACTAAAGTTCGATTCTTGAGCATCTGGCTAAAGTGAATGGACGATTGTTGCAGGATATCACCGCTGGGCGTTGCCTTTTTAATAGCAGCCAAAATCATTGAGATGGACTCTATAGCGGCTACGATACAATCTTTGGGGTGGTACTTCATAACCGTTATGATAGGCCTCTTCCTGCACGGCTTTGGTAAGCGGATCAGTTTAGATGAAATCTTTTTTTTTTGATAATAATAAAATTAAAATTTGTATATGTAGGTACCATCGCGGTCATATTCTTTTTGGGTACACGTCGCCTGCCGTATCGTTATATAGCCAAATTGAGTCAAGTGTTGGCCACTGCCTTTGGCACAGGCTCCAGCTCGGCCACCATGCCGTTGACTATTAAATGCCTCGATAATATGGGAATAGATCCGCGCGTTACCCGCTTTGTCATACCCGTGGGCGCAACAATCAACATGGACGGCACCGCCCTGTATGAGGCGGTGGCAGCTCTATTTATTGCCCAGTACCGTGAGATGAGCTACTCATTTGGCACCATTGTGGCGGTCAGTATAACGGCGACGGCTGCTTCAATTGGTGCAGCGGGCATACCGCAGGCGGGCCTTGTTACAATGGTCATGGTACTCGACACTGTGGGCCTGGAGCCTAAGGATGTCTCCCTAATTATCGCTGTCGACTGGCTGCTGTATGTAAATGCTAGAACTTTCTGTCTGGTCCTGGATATACATTTTCTGCTCCATTAATTTCAGTGATCGATTCCGCACCACTATCAATGTCATGTGCGATGCTCTTGGTACTATTTTGGTTAATCATTTGTCGAAGAACGATTTGGCAAGCGTTGATCGGGTAAGTTCATTTGCCTATACATCTAATTTTTATTATAAATCGCTTATATATATAAATATATATAAATATATTATGTACATACACGTATGTATAGCTAAATGCCGAGCCCCATGAGCTGCTCGAGCTGGGCACAAATGGACATGAAATGAAAGAATGAAGGCAGTCTTCGCTTGGCGCCTATAATCGCAAACGATGAGTGTTTGAGGACGAGCACGAGCACGATACTGAGAGCGAGGATGGAATGGAGCACAATGATTTGATGTACTCTCGTTATCGTCGGCTTGCCTCATCATTTGTTTTGCGGCTAAAAGCGGCCAAGACGCACACAATGTCAAGCAATTTGGAACAGTTGTAAGAGCTGTCACAAAACATCAACGAATTTATTTGAAGCGGTTGTCTGCAATAAGAGACACTCGAAAGATCAATAAGAAACAAGAAAATAAAAACAAACAAATTTGGATATTATTCCATTCAACGTATTAATTAGCATACATCATGATGTAAATAATTATGAATATAATTAAATTGAATTGAGTTCAAATTTAAATTACTTTTTCATACTTAGTATTAAAAGAAGAGCAGATAAAACTTGTTACAAACGCCTAAGAAACGAAAAGATATCGTTTTTGCAATTAATCCATAATTATAAAATAGTACATTTCAAAATGAAAGTATAGATTGTTATTCCACTCGATAAAAAGCTTCACAATATATAAAGTAAAACAAAACATCAAAAATTTGTACAAGCAACAAACTCAGTTCACAAGTTCTGTGTTGAAACAATTAGAACTTAACAATGTTTGAACAAAGAATAATTACACAAAAAAAAGACAAATATATATATTTAACTTAGTTCGCTCAAATTTTATGAATGATGATATACACAAATATTCAATGCTGTTAAAAGATCTTGTTCGGAGTTGAGCTTTGTAAATACTTAATAGCTTAAGTATAATTAAAAATATTAAAGAAACAAAGAAAAAAAAAACAAAGAAAACAATTTCCAATCACCAAACGATGAATATTCAATGACAATAATAATACGCTGCGAAAGCTCCAATTAAATGTCAGCAAAGTTATGCGTTAAAATGCTAAAAATCAATTACAAAATATTAAACGATAGTAATATTATTTATTACACGCTATTAATTAAATTAAGTTAATGAATTTGAGAAAATTACAACAAATTGACAATGCTATGGACCGTTAAGGTTTGCCAAAGAAAAAAAAAAAATTAAATCAAATAATCTTTATGTATGAATACATATGCCATTTGTAGTTTTGTGTAGCCTAGATGTTTACAAATAAAATTTTCGAATCTGTACATGTACTTATATAAAATTGAAATGAACCTAATCAAATTTTAATATCCCTTGCAGGATATTATTATATTGTTGCCATATAATTTATATACCAAAAACATAAGCATCAACTCTTGCATATTTATAATTTACATTTAACAATATCATTCATTACCAACTATTTAAGCCTGCCATTGCTATTTTTATACCCTGAACCCATTGAAAATGGGTAAAATGGGTATTATGTATTTGTACAAATGTATGTGACAGGCAGAAGGTCCGTCCGTATGTATGATCGCAAGGATCTCAGAACCTATAAGAGCTAGAGACTTGAAATTTTAGCTGTAGGTCCTCCTAGTACCCGCGCAGTTTGCTTCCGATATTCGATAACTTGCCCCGTTTCCAAGAAATCGATCAAAATCGATATCGAAATCCTGTTTTTTGAGCAATTTCGGCAAATAATATGAGCTAGAGTCACCAAACTTGACATGTAGCTTCTAGAATAGTATATATATATATCAAGTATCTTTAATTTAATACCTATCGCCTGTTAGAAGAAAAGGGTTCAGGGTATCCCCTAGTCGGGAGCTCCCGCCTAGAACCTCTTGCTTGTTTTTATTAGTATTAGGATTCGAATTCATACTACATACATACCAAGTCATTGGTAAAATTATATAGTAACTTGGTTATAAATACCGAATCTTTGTTGCATCATCGTCAGTACCATAAAATACATTGATTCTACATCGACATACCTGACTACCTATTGACAATATTAAGAGTCCATCGTTCTTACGTTTGCTTATGCTGAAGTCTGTCTGCACATTTAATTTTGTGGTTTCCTGTGGACTTTCCAAGATTTCGTGCAGATTCGACAATAACCGTCCTGGGCTAGATATACGATACACGCCCCGGAATCGGGGCATTTAAGAGCGTTTTTTCTTACAAATGCTCACAATGGGATTGACCAAACGATGGAAATCCTTTAAATTCTCTTGGGATATATGTAGACAAGCGGACGACAGAGACTAGTTATTTCCTTGCACTCTTTGGTAACCGATCCTAAATAACTATTGATTTGATTGGAAATGGATTGGATATAACTATTCACCATTGTTACAAACTCTACGCATTAGATATGTTATTCGCTGACTCCGATGGTTCATTGATTACATCCATTTGTTCAGCTCAGATTTCAATAGGTGGAACAGAGCGTTTCTCCCCTGATCATCGCGTAAAATACACGCGAAGCAAATCAGTTAGCATTATGAATGAATAAACGAAGAATGTCAGAATTATAGCTCTGCAAAAGACTAACAATGGAGTAGTATGAAAACCGTTCTGTTGACCACAAAATCGAAATTCCATGGAAATGTATCTGCGGTGTAAAATTTGATTTTAGTATATATATTCCCATTTATTCTATACTATGGGGTATTATTCCTTTTTTTTTAATGAATTTTAAGACAATCTTATAAAAGTTTTTTTTTGCCACAGTTGCGGGTGGAATTTCCAAAGTTCTAATGTAGAGCTTTGTAAGAAGTCGTACAAAATATAAACATTCGCCCAATTAATCTTTGTCCGCAGTTCCACAAAGGCACAATGTATTTTCCGTAGGGTTTGGAACACTTCTCAAATAAATTTGAACAAAGAATGACGGTAAATTGTTTAATGCAAATATTTTATCGAGTTTATTTTCGATCTATAGTTATCATGTCTGAAAGAAATAAATTTTTCAATTTTTCTAGTAAATAGTCACATGTGAATGTAAATTAATTAATATGATTTTTATTTTAATTTGACTTCTCATTTCTGTTGTACATATAATATACATTTTGTTAAATATTTTCGAAGATTTTTCTTGTCCCAAATTTCATTGGTTTTCGTTCACTTTTCGATAAATTTCTTTTGAATGCATTAGAGTTTGACTCTGTATAATGTCACGCACTGCACTTTTTCAATCTCTTTCAGTGTAGTTCAGTGCAGTTGTGGAATAACCGTCTGTATGCATCGAGAACCTGTGATTGTGGATGCATTACACACATGCACGACGAACCTGATTCGGTTGCAATATTCTAGGAATATGCTTATATCTGCATCACGCTTGCTTTTTCTTGAGTGCGTTTCCATCTGATTTATTAGTGTCGGGGCAGGGACAGTAGGCATTCTGGCCGCCGTCACAGATGACAACTGCTGGCGGTTTATACGGTATTCCCGTACAGGTCGGGCAGTTGACTCCATCTCTATTAAGCGACATAACTCCAGCTGCCCTACCATGGCCATGTACCCTGTACAGGCATAGCAGCCGATGGGCAACAAACAAGAGGGGTAGAAGAAGCAAGGCGCAAAGCAATAAGCCCAACCACAATCCGTTCTAAAATTAAAGGAATATTGACATACATTTAATGATAGTTCTGTAGAGCTACTTACAATGGGATCGACGATACGCTCGCAAACCATTTCAGCACTGTGCCGATACATGTAGGCAAGGGATTGGCAGGGTCCAACATTCGTATTACTCTCTTTGATCAAATAGTTAACATAATTGTTGAGTTCCACGTTTACCACTTCCGTTAGATTCTCAAATAACGTATTTATATAATCACTGCCACGATTTACTATAAATTCTTCTGCTTTGGAAATTGAATCCATTATCGCCTTAATTGTATTGTTAAAGTCATTATCGTTTCTTGTTATAAGTTTGTCAGTTGAAAGCAATCTGGATTTAAACTTCTCCATGTCTTTTAATATATTTGGTTCAATCAGTATAATGTTGTCTAAGTCTAGCCCAAGTCTCCAAATGCTGGGATAAGTGGCCCATAGTCTGTAGTTCATATTTTTATCATGCTTCTGTGTGTGGAAAAAGTTTTTATTCCACTGATAATAGTATTTTCGAAATTCCACAATATTATCAATAGTTGATATTTGTGTGCACAAATGATCAGTAGCTAATCTGCTATGATAATCCGACAGATTTCCGATTTGCGCGTTAGTAATCTTAATTATATCCTTTTCCTCTAGGATTTTTACTTTGCTCAAATCAGCTTGAACTGCCGTTGCCACATCGACATTAGATATATTGCGCGCAATGTCATCCCTAATAGTATTCAGGTCAACTAACTCATACTCAAGCAACGCATCAAAAATGCTCTGATTTTCCCTGCATGTTATTGCTAACCTTGACCACTCCTGAACCTTTTGTTCGCTTTCATAAAGTTCAATCACATTGAAGAGATTCTGTTTCTCCTGATAAGTACTCGGTAAACACACGCCATAGTACATTATCATTCCCAATATAAAGTAAAACAGCATAGCGAGCAGTAGGAGCGATAAAAAGAAGAATATCAGTGCGATAGCCCTAAAAAATTAGCGAGAGAGAGACAGAGATAAATGGAAATATAGAGATAGAGATAAGGAATAGTTTGTTGGCAACTCACAGTAACAAGCACTTGTATCCAGTGTTATCTCTTCGAATACAACAGCCACAAATAAATGCAACAAACATTACGATGATAATCTGCAACGTTGGCCAAGGAATTCAGTTTGTCAGGATATTTATAAAATTGTAATATATATATTTGTGATAATTTTGAAGCTTTTACCAAGACATTGTCTAATATTACACGAATATTAGCATTTCTTTTTAACCATTTATCGGCAATGGCCACAAGTCCGAGATTTATAGATGCTTACTAATATACAGTTTTCAAAGTGATGTATAAACAAAATTTAAGTCTTACCGCAAATATTAATAAAAACAAGATGACGCTTATTATTTTCCGATCAGGTCCGTACGTATTGTTGAAATCACCAAACGATTGTGTGATGCGCGCATTTTGAAAATAAATATCATTTATTATCGAATTGATGATTTTGCATACATTCTCGCCGTGTGCTTTGACAGCACCTCCCACTCTGCTAATCTTTGTGAGTAATGGCGGAATCTGCGGATCTATCACATCCTGGATCATTTTGTCGACTTTCTGAAAGCGTTCTAGCCCTCTCCTTACTGATACTACCACCTCCTTTTTTATAATATCTTCAATGGCCTCCACATAGCGAGTTATGTTCGGTAGCTGAAACGAATCGAATCGAATGTAATGCACACTTTGATCTTACACCTTACCCACTTTATCCACGTGCAGACATTCCTTAGTACCCCACATCGGAATCTTATTGTCCCTAATAAAATTATTGCATTCTTGGTAGTCACACCAAACCGTATGAAGATAGGTAATATCACGCTTAACACCACGCAAAGCTAAAATGTTGTACGATAAAATGGTAAAGTTAAGATACATATAAAAGATAAATCACATTTGACACAATTACCATCTCGGTACTGGGCGATATTAAAGATAAGTGATTTCTTGAAGCTCTCCGCCTTTTTCAATAATTGTAATGCTTTCGGCATGGAGGAAAAAATAAGTTCTAGAGTTGCTAGTGAATAGACATTAGAGGTGTCGGACAGGTCCATAAATATATGGGTATCCGCCTCTGTGAAAAGTGCACAGAACGTTAGTTGAACAAGTAAAGGTGATCTAGTCGGAAATGCCTGAATAGTAGTGGTGCCTACCATTTATCGAAGCAGTTAGACTCGTCTCCAATTCTTCAAAGTTGTAAACGAACAAGTGGTTGATATGATTACAGGCATCCTTCAGAAATAGGCACGTGTCTTCGGCTTGCCGATGCATGTTCTCGATGCCTTCTCGAAGCCCGCGATGTATTAGCTTTTCATTAAGGAAAGCTATGAGTAATCCCATTCTATGTTTATGCCAAATATTAAATATGGATTAAATCGACTATAATTGACTTACAGTATTCCCAGGAGCAGCAGCAGCATCAATATGCTGCAGCAGGTGCGCTTTGCAGCATACGAACTATGTGTACAAGGTGGGCAGACGTTGGGGCAACGGCAGCAGCAAAAGCAAAAATAGCAGACTCTGTTTATCGTTGAGAGAGAATTTAATTAGCTTATGTGGGTTCAAAAAAGTAGCAGAAGCCCGGCTATAAAATACCCTATACCTAGCTCCGAGTGCCTGTACAATAATCGAAATAATAATGTTATGTCTGTAATGCGACCTTTTAAATACAAAATTTTGATAACTATAGATCTTTTGTTACTTGTAATTAATCACCTTGTGTTCTTTAAACCTGTTACTTACGCGAGAAACGGTAAGATAATGATAATAGACAAAATTAACAATATCCAGACGATCAGTAATTTGTTTTTGGCAAGCAAATCTTTCCATTGATTGGAGTGGACCTTGGGGCCCAACTGAACAGAACTCGAGTTTTTCGCGGTCGTAGTATAACCTACAGGGGTAAGGATTATCTTTAGATTAGATCAGCCGGTAGCTAAAGTTGTAAATATCAGTACCCACCACTTGGTATATTCAACTCGTCGCCAAATATTATGTGCGTCAACTCGTGTATTGGCCTCATATACAGGCTATGATAAGTGGGATCTACAGAATAATTGACTTTATTCTCATACATGGTATATTCAACGAACGCAAAATGTCCCCGTCCTGCCTTCTCATGCTGCGTTCCAAAGTCACCGTCGCCTTTTTCCCAATCGGCAGTCGCTGGCAACGGCGCATTGATCGCAACAACTAATATGATAACCATGACAAGGAATTTCATCATATATCGCCCCCTTCTGATCTTAGGGAATATCTCCCTAGATGAACGCGCCACATGTGTCATACTTGAGCTGTTACTGGCATGTCTTCCGTTAACGATCACATCCAAATTCCACTTTAAGCAAAAGCTGATTGAGCAGACGGATTAGCACTATACCACAATTTATATCCCTATATAAGACTGTTTGGCCTTGTACGGACTGACTTGTTGATTGGGGATCAACGCACAGTTCAAATATCTTTGAGGGCTGTCAAATATTAGGTGGGTAATGTTTTGGGTTCAAATATATTTCTAAAAATCTTTATGATAATTCATTTTAGACTGTTTCACACTTTTTGCAGTATCCAAGCTTCTTCGGTGGAAAGAAAATTAATGATTATTATTTTCATAGCCCTACATAAGAATTAAAAGAATATGTGCGATTTTGGGAATTCCGCCCGCAACTGTGGAAATTTAGCGGAAAACAGCTGCATGCAAAGTTTTTAATTAGTATCGGATCGGGTTCAAAATCATTTTCAATGATCTGTGTGAAAATTTATTTAATTCACTTACTACTAACAAGGTTTAATATTTCGCTTTATATTTTGCCTTCAATTTTGCATGGGTGAAAAAGTAAATTTCCAAATTTGTAGTTTCGCTCAAAACTTGCCACGGGCCGCTATTACGTTTATGTGTAACTACTGTTAATGTCAATGAAAATCAGTCTTACCGGTTGTATGTCACTTCAGTTGGAAACCAGAGAAGTGATTGGTTTAGATCTTGAGGAAGACGTGGTTAAGTCATAAATTCTGAAATGCATTCACGAAACTTGAAAGTGTTGTGTGAAATTCGACGAAAATATCTTAAATCAAATGTGTTTTCAACAGAAGCACGAAGTGTTGTTATGTGAAATACATTTCAAAAACATAACAGTTAAATCAGAAACAGTGTTGCAAGTCGAGAAATTATTTCAATGGCCTGCAATTTTATATGTGCGATTCATATCTTTCATGATGTATCCACTCGATTTTGTAATCAAACATATTATTTACTTGGCAATAAAAAATACGTAGTCCCAATTTGACGAAATTGATATATATACATATATATTTATATAAGTACAATGATCTTTGGCCCTGAAAAAAACGTATTTTTAAACATGTAACAAATATTGTTTGTATTGGAATATCTCCAGGACTGTACAAATTATTAGACCCCAAAATTTTCGAGAATTGACGGCAACGAGCAGATCAAAATTTCCAGTGAATTAAAATCCAAACATCGTTAATGAACATATTAAAATATTATACCAAAATAGACCCAAAAATTATTGTTCTAGGAACTCTCTCAGCGCCAGTCAATCAAAAGCTGGAGCAATCACCATGCCCACCACCATGGACCAGCTTCAGCAGCTGAACAACAGCCAGCTGTGCATCTTGTGCTACAATTATAACATTGCGCCGCGGCATGTCGCAAATCTGAATCGCCGCCAATTGGAGCGCCGTCTCCTTGTGGCCATTGTTGCAGAGCGTGCCAAATGGCGGGCACGCAATTTACTGTACAACTTCCAGGATGGTCAGCGCCAGGGAATGCCTGTGAATGCCTGGCAAAACGCTGAGAGGCCAAATAATAGACCTCGCGACCTGACGCTCTCGGAATGGCGCTACTTGGCGGCGCGTGAGCGGGCAGCCCGATCACAGCGGTATAGCGGCGGGGATGAGCTGCAGGAGCAGCTGGAACAGCTGCAGGAGCTGACAGAGGTCCAGGCGGAGTACGAGCCCTATATGGAACCATATGAAATTCAGCAACAGAGCGAACCAGATGCAATCACAAAATACCCATCCGATCATCAGATGCAGCTGCGAGTACAGGGCGCAAACTTTGCCTTTCACCCAATCACAAAATACTCTTCGGAGCACCAGATGCAGCCGTCCGTACAAGACACCAACATTGCCTTTCACCCAATCACAAAAGCCTCATCCATGCACCAGATGCAGCCTCCGGTACTGAACGCCAACATTGCCTTTCACCCAATCACAAAATACTCATCCGAGCACCAGATCCAGCCGTCCGTAGAGGACGGCAACATTGCATTTGGACAGCAGCATCCGCAAACCTTGCTCACAGAGTATTACACCGACTGGAGTGGGGATCAGGACCCGGATACCGATTACTTTTCGTTTTACAGCACTACAGATAGCAGGACCAGCACTAACTTGGATGACGATGGCGCTGGAACCTTGGAACCTTCGTCGCCGCATGGTGAAATGAATCAATTGCAAAAAGCCGAACGATTTACTGGCTGGGATGGCCCTATGCAGTGTCCTAGTGTCTTGGCGCATTCTGAACCCGAACCGAATATCTCCTCGGAGCGGGAGCTTTGCACCGTCAACTATCTCAGTGAGGAGCAAATGACTGCCATCAAGAACACAAACAACTGCGGCCAACTGTTAAAGCTCATCAGCCGAACGCAGCTCCGCAAGGAGATCGAACTGATTGGCGATGCCCTGACAGCCAGAAGGACACGCAGACGCCGGCGACCCGCCTTCTGGCGCTACCTTCTCAATATGCTCTGTTGCAATGCGCAGGGCAAGTTGGATGCGCAGAAGCTGCGCTATACCATCCTCTGTTGTGCCATGGTCGTTTGCACCTATGTAGGCGTCAAAATGCTTCAATAAATTACGCCTGGTACGTTTTTATTGGCTCCAGACGTGTACCGCCCTTTCTATTTGCAATATACACGGTTCCTAATGTGAAACAGAGTATATTCACACAACAGATTTTTGTAGCTTATCCGCCCCAGTTGAATAAATTACCAACCTCTAACGGGGAACATGTTTGGAATCTGTAGCTTTAAATAGGTCGGAAGTGATTGACCAATATATTTATCTCTAAATATTATATTACATTTTCTTTATATCCTTTTATCATTTTGGACAACCCTGGCTTTACATTTATTCTAACAGTGCACAAGTGTTACATGAAACCTTTCCAATGTTAAGGCCCTGTTAAATTAATGTTATTTTTGTTGAAAACTAACATTAGAAGCCAGCTAGTACCTGTTGAGCTTCGAGGATAATAACGCCTTGAAGAAAGCTTTTATTATCAAAACCATTGCTAAGATATAATTAGGTTTTATATATATTTCGATTTGAAATGCTAAAAATTACGACGTCGTACTGTTAATGGTATTTTAGCAAATGTGAGGCTGTGATTGTTTGACAAAAATGACTTTCTTGGCGTCGAATGTCACTTGACTTGGTTTCGCTTGCATCACTCATACGCCATGTGCTCGCAGCAAGTGCCATTTTCAAGTACAAAACGGAAATGAAACTTTAATTATATTTATGGTAAGCGTCAGTAACAGATGGCAGGCACTGCTCGGGCTGTGTGTAGCCAACTAAGACAGCAATATTATGAGTGCAAATAAAATGGGATTGCATAAAAATAAGCCATTGGATAAGCCTTCATCATCGCAGCCAGCATTTCTTCTTGACTTTCCGCTGCTTACCTTGGGCAGCAGGTGAGAAAATCTCATTGCTGTTGCACCGATGCGCAAGCCTAATGACTTTTGGCAATTTCCCCAACATGAATCTGGTTACTCGCCTTCGTCTTGCTAAAAGCTGGCGACGACTCGTCGACTTCCGGGCCAACCTGCTGCTGGCGCGGTGTTGCCATAAATTTTCTAAAATGTCGTAAACTCAGAAAATGACAAACACACACACACACACACACTCATAGTATTGGTTTGCCAAATAAATGGATCGAATAATGGCATAGAGAATTGGGCGCTTTCAAGTGACCGTTTCCTTCCACCAACACGATTAGAAAGTTTCTTGCTTAGGAAGTGCTCTCAAATTGCTATAGACAAGTGTTTAACAGAGTATTCTGAGAGTGTAGAGTCAGAATAAAAGCAAAGTTTAATTTTGCATAAACATTCTCATCCTCATCCTCATTTTCATCCGATAACCATTTTTAACATTAATTTCTCGAAATTTGAATGAATTGCTTATCTTAAAAAGTATTAAAGGCAATTGGCGTTGCCAAATCAGGCCATAAATAAAACTTTGGACATAAAAATCGGAGTTATAAAATCATCAACTTAATTGGCAACAAATTTGGCGATCTGATTCGTAAGCCAAGGACCCGTGGGCCTTTCCCTTTATCGACCATTACCTCAGCTCTGCACATAAAACATCTGGTTGCCAAATGTGCATTGCTGGCATTGCTTGACTTGAATATACCCTGCAATACTTACATAATACTCTGAATTGTTTTTATGACATGTTCATGTCAATGTATTTTCACGACGAAGATTAATTCTTATTCTATTATCTAATTTATATATGATAGGAATAAATCGTGTTTGTAGCTAAGAGAAGAACTTTATATATATCTAAAAATATAACAAATAATAAATTTCTGCAAGATAAAGAAACATTTTAAAGCAAGGGCAAAAGTTTCTACATACTAAACGCCTGAGTAATAATATATGTATGTGTTTAAGCAGAGTCGGATATGTTACTATTTGTTTTGATCATACTGCCTTTATATTGTCCTTGGTACAGGGTATCAAAATGGCATTTTAATTTTCAAGAGACCATAAAATGCCAAAGTGCCATTTACTTGGCTAGCCGTAACTTAAAGGCCCACTTATTTGACTATAAATTCAGAAACGCCCTTGTTTCGTAATTGCAGGCAATAGATTTGTTAAATTCTGTGGGCACATTTCATTTAATTTGTCATCGAATTTGGTGTTTCTCAGGCAATTGGTCGTTGCGCTCCACTACATATTTATCTGGGCTCTTTTTTTCTAACATAACTCGAAGTGTCCAGCTTTGAGGCTCTGCAACTAACAGTCGTTCGTTTGGGCCCCAATGTTTCAGCTTGCTGTCAAAATTATTGTTACAAATGCTTGCGCTCGAGGCCAGCAGCATTATACAAAATTTATTTGGCTAACGTGACTCTTGACTTAAATCTTTGTCTAATAGCAGCTACAGTTTGGCTTTGGCCTGGCTAATGGGTTTTGCTTATTTCGGCGTTGCTTTATGGTTCGTTGGCGTTGTCCCTATCGCTGATTGCCGTTCAGCATACTTTGAAGTTGAATTTTTTGACAGCTCTTAAACACTTTGAGCAGAGCATATTAGTTACGGACCTCGGACGTGACTAAAAAAAAAGGAAAATAAATAATTCATGTGATGTATAAAATACAGTATGAGAAATTGAAACCAAAAATTCAACTATCTTTTATTATTTGATTTTCCTTTTCAAATTCCTCAAAATGCACTCTTCTTTTATTGACCAGCAATAAAAAGAATTTTGAACTCTTAATTTAATGGTATTTTTTGATCTGATTTTCAAAACATACCAAACTGTCTAGACTGATGATGGTCTAATGTCTAATGGTTTTTGTCCAGCTCGTTTGTACAAAATCTATCAAACTAGTTATATATTTACATTGTGCACCATGTCGTATGCGCAATATTAATCGTTTGACTTCTACGAGTGCCTTTGCGTCATTCATAGTAAAAGTGTGAGTTTGTACCCAGATACGTCATCTGACGTTACAACAGCTGAACTTGTATATTTGCGGCAGCTTTCATCACATCGAGCTGCTTTTTGTCGCCGGCAAACAAACTGTAATTCGATATTGATTGATTATCCTTCAGTTTTAGTCGTCTGGTCAATCTCTCAGTTGGTCTCCGATTGAAAAATTTATGCGCTCAAAGCAAATTATTACAAATTCAATTAAATAGAGTCTAAGTTTTGCCAGTAAATAGTTGTAAAGCAGACAGGTAAAATATTTAAAAAGTATGGTTTAAATTTATAGAAGCCAAAAAAAAAAAAAAACGTTTGGAATGATTCAGCTCTGATTTCTTGGTCCGCATTAGCATCAAAACGGTATGAAATTAAATTTTCTATACACATACATAGTTTTCGAGCTATCTAGATGAGTTTTTATATATATCCGACATATTTCGATCTGGATCCGACCGCTATATTAATATCTGTCACAGAGACTGTAATGTAAATAACTTACCCCGCCTTGCCCGGGTCAAATGCATTATATAATGCCTAAGGCATATACAAAGCTGCCCAAGTTAGTTCGATTTGTTGCCAAATGACCATCGAAAAGTGACCAAAGCCAACCACCGAATATTATTGACCAATCGATGATTTTTGAAATAACTTCTAACCCTTTTGAATGGGAACCTTGTCGTGCTAGGGCACTAAATCATACTGAGTCGAAAAGTTGTAATACACTTGCCGGCTTTTTAGAAGTCAAACAATTGTAATCGAAACAAGACCCTAGGCAGAATTTGACTACATATCAAATTCCTAGTCAGTTTGAAAAAATTTTTGAAATGCTTACAACAAATTTCTTATTGTTTTTGGCCATTGGCGGCTTATTTAGCGTAAGTATCAAGATCCGTGGCAATATCTAAGACTTTTTTTTTAAATAATATTCATCAATGTTTTTCCCAGTTGACACGCGTAGACTATACAGCTGCTGCCCCAACGAAAAATGCTGCCAATGCTGGAAGTAAGATGTTACTTCCAACGGAACGCTTGCAATTTACGGTCACTGCTACCAATCAGAATTTACTTCCAATGGCAAGCGGCCAATTGGTGAGCACCGTCAACAATAAGAATTTACATCAAAGGGCGAGTTCACAAATAGCTGACACTGCTGAAAAACAAACTTTACTTCCAACGGAAATATCTGATAATTTAATGAATCAGGATTTACTTCCAATGGAAAACAGGCAATTGGCAAATCAGAATTTACTTTCACTGGCTAGCTCACAGATTGGTAACACTGATGATAATCCAATGATAAAATTGGAAATAGCTGACACTGATCAAAATCAAAGTTCATTTTCAATGGACAACCTAGAAAGGGCCGAAAGTGCTAAAAGTCACAGATTGTTTTCAATTAAAAACTTGCCACATTTTGGCGGCTCTGATAAAAATCAAACATTTCTTGGCGTTCCAAGTGGAGCAGACCATGTCACAAATGACTTAATGAAGACATTAGATGCAACAAATGATGATCTTAAAATATATGGCACACGTTTATTACCGCTGGGATATAAACTGAAAACTTCGGATTCAAGGACCATCCCTTCTCAGCCGCTATTCAGCTATAAGAGAACTTCTGACGCTCCGCCGCAATATGATCTATATGAAACTCAAAAACCGAGAATCGATTATTATCGACCATTAAGTTCCTATCGGAACAAATATTATGTAAATCAAGATGATTATGGTTCTAATTTTAAAATTCCATACTTAAACTCCAATGGCAGCGTGCCTCGAGAACTCGTCCAAAATTTTGACAATCTGCTTGCCGCGGCCGGAGATAACGAAGACTCCGACAAAGAGATAACTATATCCTTACCGCCAGGTGATCACAACTCGACTGAGGTGCAATTGAGGGTCCAGGCGCGTGCAGGAGAAAACTATCCTCCAGGGTGGGTATTTTAAGTTTTCTTTTTAAACATTATTTCGCGAAATGTATTTAATTTATTTTGGAGGCTCCATGAAAGCCATGCTCGTTTTTTTTTCTTCAAAATTTTACACATTCCTTATCCTTCCATTCCCTGTTAATATAAATATTTCAAAATGAATGCGAAAGTAAAATGGGAATTGAAATTAAAAACAAATTATGAAAATTGTCCGCCCACTGACCACAAAGCTGAACAATTATATAAATTCCTAATTTCCACTTAAATGAAATTCCCAAAGATCTTGGGATATGTATTGTGGGTTATCCGCAAATTTTCAGTACTTGTAGGAGTTATCGTTCCAGATGTCATTTGTTTAATTTCATACATCTACCATATGCCCACAAGGGTTTCGCTTTAATAATATTGTAAAAATTTGTTAAATTTTTAGTGAAAAAATGCCTGAAGTATGTATGGGAAAATCGACTATATATAATAAGCCCAGGGTGATGAATTGGCTTCAGAAAAAAGTATACATGTATTACAGTACTTTTGACTATAGCGATGATATTAAAATCACTCAACAACAAGAAAATGAGCGGCCCATGTATTTTGATCTAAGGTTTCAGCTCTTCAAAAATGGTAGATCCGAGGAGTGTCACATACCAAGCTTAACCACATGGAGACCATATCTGGAATGCGCTTTAAGGCGCAACCAACGAATGGAATACATGATACCAATGTACCCTCTTCACCAATATGGATATAAATATCGTTGGTCGCAATCTATGAATGAAGAAAATTATAATAATTATCAATCATATTCACCAAGAACTGATTTTTGGAAATACTGGTCTTAGTAATGGCAACTATAGCCCAAATAAAATCATAATTGGGGGCAAATTTGTCCAAGAGAGTAGTTCATCAGTGATATCATCTGTTTGGGAGGGTCGCTTGTTGCTCTTATTTTACAAAGTTACCCATATTTTTGTTGTTGTTGCTGCTGCTGCTGCTGCTGATGTTTGCTATTGTTTTGCCTGCTGCGGTAATAGTTGTGAAAGTTGTGGGCGGTTTTCAAAACTTTAGATTTTGCTGTTTAGTGAAGCCAAAATTTACCGCCAACGGGCGCAAAGTTGACAGCTTTATACTTCGACTGCCCGAGAATCAAAGCTTGGTATTTGGCTTTTGGCTATTTCATCATTTGTTGCATTTGTGGTTTGGTTTTGGAGCTTGCTTAAAACTTGGTATCATTTTGATGAACATTTTTATGCTAAGTCGCATTCATAATCACAAAAATATAGCAATATATTTATGCAATATTCATGACAGGCAGATTGTCATCCGCTTAATAAGTGGAATCTGAACATAAAATAAAAAATATATAATCACAAACTTATATATTCTGTATAAACGGCATAAGTATATTCTTGATCAGCATCAACAGCGAAATTAATGTAGCGAAGTCTGTCTGTATGAATCTAGAGAAACTAGACACTTGAAAGTTTAATAGTAAATCCTCTTATTTAGAGATGTGCTCGGGCCACGTTTTAGGGGCCCCAAAAGCCGTTATTGAGGGTATTATTATTGTTGTCATAGATAGAAGTTAAAATTAGCATATTTTCTTTATTGATATAGCCATGTCCGCCTATCCGTCCGTCATTTTGTTTCTATGCGAACTATTCCCTTAGTTTTAGGTCTATCGTCTTGAAACTTTGCATAGGTCGGTCTTTCTGTTGCAGGCAGCACAAATATCTGAATATAGCTGCCATGGGAACAATCGGTCGAAACTAGGTTTTTGTAGGCAAAACTTTTTTCACTATGAGCCTAATCTTTTCAAAATCGTATTAGTATATCATACATATTACTCTGTAGAATAAGTCGTTCGAAAATTAAATTTTGTGTAACAAAATATTTCATTTTTCCAGACAATTTATTCACACTTATGTCTATGAGAGTACTCTCTTGTTTATATACCTTTTTTTTGACCAATATATCTCAAGCTTCATTGTGTCCTTTTGGGCTTTGTCGTGCCATCATTTGTCAGTCTCTTTTGTGGGCACATGGGTCAAGAAAATAGCCCATCTAATCTTATGTTTCAAATCCTCGATAGACTTAACTTGTATGTATGTATAAGTGTACAAATATATATGTGTATGCGTGAAGGTGCCTGGTCACAAAAGCTGTAACTCTCCGTTCCTTTTGGCAACTCTGCACATTTGTCAACACATACTGGCCGCTAATTGGGAATTTTATAATTTGATAATTAAAGCCAAGCAATGTTTGAATTTAACTACCTTTTTATTTAAACACATTTAATAATATATAAATAAATATGAAACAAATCAGAGGGGCCTACAACTCACTAATTTTTTATTTGTATGCCTATATAGACCCCGACGTGTATATGATGTTTATCATTTACGGGTGTTATGGTCATTTGAAATTACAAAATGTAAGCATGCATATTAAGCATACATTGTATTCTCGTACAAGCACAATTCTCAGCATGCAATACTGTGCAATTGACAACTGGAGTCAATCGAACTCAGAACTAAAGAAAGACAACAAAAATCGGCGCACAGAAAATAAAGCAAGTCTTTTCTAGAGCAGCAAAAGTTCGTGGGGGCGCAATTCCCAAGTAAATAATTCACAAGCCAGGCATATACACATGCATATGTACATATTTGGCGATTATCTCTGCATACATACATACATATGTTTGGGTGTGCACTCTCTGGAGTGATATCTACTTATGCTTGTGTGTCGTTGTCTATGCGTTATCTACCTTTGAAGGGCGCTCAGTCGAGTTTATGGTTTGCTTGCTCAATTTTCTGTGCGCCGATTTTTATCCACTTTGCTTTTGTGCAAGTAAATTCTGATTTAGTTAAATGACAGCAGTCGAGTAGAGCTGTATAAAGTTATTAGAAGTAAAATTTTTCGGGAAAACACCGTTCGTATGGTATATGTTGTCGGACTCTAATGGATCGGGAGTTTTAATTAACACTATTATGACATAAATGGCAATAGTTCTAAAGACATTAACAATCATCAATTTCTAGAATCGGACTTAATTTAAGTATAGGGAGCCATTGAAAGTTAATAAGAAAATAATTAATATTTCATTTTATAATAAAACTCGTGAGTAGAAAATGTACAAGCATGCATATATGTACATACATACATATACATACATCTCTACATATTTGACTAATTTCCTCTCATGCGCATTCTACAATTTGACTAAAATGGCACTCGATGCTTTTGCTTTCAACTTGTACATACATCTTGCCAGATCGGATCTCATCAACTCATAGCCATTCTATTTTCTTATTTTATTATACTTGGGATCTGTACGGACAAAGAATGTCAATTGGCATTTAAAAATTTCAATTTGTTAATTTGACCAAGTTTGATAAAACAATAGAATGTCATGCATTATGTTCCGTATAAACCAAATCCACAACTTTCGGCCGTGCAGAATCTTCTGTTAATGTTCAATTGACTACTTTAATCAAACTAGCAGTGTTTAACAAAATTGGCGCACAGAAAAAGAGCAGGTCTTGCTTAGAGCGATAAACAGCATCAAAATTTCGTGTGAGCCCAATGCATATGTAGATAATGCAGGAGCACACAATATTCTCTCGGCATGCACTTCTTGGGTGTGTGTTCGCTTGTGTCTTATCTACATGCTGCCAATGCATGGGCCTCTCACGAATTTTCGGTGGCGAGACTTGCTCTGTTTCTTGCTCTTCTTGACGTAAGAGAACAGAGAGCAAGTCTTGCTTAGAGATCAGAATTTCGTGTACAAAGGTAATGCAGAAGCATGCATATACAGGTGTGTGCACATTTGCCGATTCCCTCTGCATACACTTGTTTGGATGTGTGTTCGTTCTGTATTATCTACATGCTGTGCATTTTTGCTGAAGCCTATCGCTCATTGGTCCAATCAAGAATTGATTGTTCACGAGCTCATCTTGGGATCGTTAGTGGCTTTCCAAAGTTCCTATTAAAAATTGGACTAAAATAGAAAGTGGCAGCTACGCATATTTTGCATGCATCGTAGTTTTTTACAACCAACAGTAAGTTGTGCGGACGTACATGTTTGTACTTGTGTGTGTACTTGTACGTACCTATTTGTGCGTGTGTGTGATTGCTACACGAAACTAATCTGTGCGAGCGGCCTAAAGTAATGGCACACAGAAATGAGAACAATTCATGGTGCTGCTCACAAAAGTTCGGGAGAGCCCAACGCATACATATACACGTATTTTATTTATTCATATGTGTGATTACTTGTACGTTATCTAGCTTTGAGTTGCGCTCAGTCGAATTTATTGCTTGCTTACTCATTTTGCTCCCCTTTGATTTTTCGTGTACTTTGGTTGAGCCCAAAATTGTTGGGTTTAGTTGAACGCCAGCACTCAAGTAAAGCTGTTTAGAAATATTATTAGTGAAAATTCTTGTGCAAATACCGTCCAAATGTCGTAAAGGTGTATATTATCGGACTCGTACGGATGGGGAGTATCAATTGACATTGAAAAAATCGTATTCTAAAGTTTGACAAAAATGGATCACAAGTTTTTACAGTTCTATCGATTTAAAATATTTTTACGAATCCCAAAAGGGCTATTTTTCCAAAATTTGTCTTAAATAAACCAAGATAAAGCCGTTCAAAGTTTATCATAAAAATAATCAATAAAATAATTTGTGAGAGGGCGATGCATAGGAAGATAATACACTAGCAGGCATATACACATACATATGTGTGTACATGTTATTATCTCTGCATACATACATACATATGTTTGGGTGTGTGTTTTCTGGAGTGATATCTACTTATGCTTGCGTGTGTGATTGCTCGTGCGTTATCTAGCTTTGGATCACGATCCCATGCATGTTTTTTTACTGCTTTTCGTTTCAATGGAGAATTTATCTTGTAAACATCTGCCTTTGATCACCTATCTCTGCATCGCACTCACTCAAGTTGATGGCTTGCTCAATTTGTATTAGCTAACAGTCGTCTAAAGCTGTTAAAAATATTGTGAGTGAAAATTATCGGGTAAATTTCGTCCGTATCGCTAATGTTATACTTTTTTAGACTTGAACGAATCGAGAGTATCAAATGTCAATATTTAATGAAATCGCATTCTAAAGTTTTTACATAAAACTAGTTGCCAAATCCAGAAAGGTTCTTAAAATCAAAATTTGTAGAGTTAAAGTGAGCGATTATTAACGAGTATCAAAAGGTATATCCTTCAGAAGTTGGACGCAATTAAACCGATGTAAAGCCATTTAAAGTTTACAACCTACTAATTCACTTTTTATTTTGTATTTTTCAGCGCATGGACAAGATAATAATCCGTATCGTTGGTAACTAGATGGCCTCTATATCCTTGGATAGACATTTACCAAAATGAAATAAATATTTTTAATTTTCTGTCAATTTTAAGGGCTCTCCGAGGTAATATAACGTATATATTTTGGTTCAAAAAAACGAATTTTTTATTTTCTAGGCGAATCTGCCATGTGCATGGACTACAAAATATTCAGTACCGTTGGTACCTAGATCGCCGATATATTATTCCTTATTCCATACCTTGGATAGACATTAAGGAAATCTCATTCTTAAGTTGTGGCTAAATCTGGATCTGTTCTAAAAAGAAAATGTTTGGCATTTTGTCGATTTTGAAGACTTTCACATATCTTTCATAATTGTAATTAATTTAAATGAATACATTTTTATTTCGTATATTTCAGCCACATCTGCCACGCCCATGGATAACATATAATCAACAAATTTGGTGCCTAGATGACTTAGATATCCTTTGTTATTCCATACCAAGGATATAGTCCTAGCGAGCCTAAAGGACCGAGTTCTGCAAAATGCACAGGGAACATGGTCCAAAAATATGTATGCTTTCTTTTACAGCCGCCCCCACCTACAGCCCGCCCCCTGAATGGTTGCTAGTTGACTACCATATCCTTGGTTATACCATACCATTGATATAGTCCTTGGGAACCTAAAGGACCAGATCCCTGCAAAATGTGCATTGCAATGGTCCAAAAACATGTATGATTTTTCTTTCAGAAGCCCTTTTACATTAGCTGCAGCTGCAGCTGCTGTTTAACAGCCGCCTAATAGCACTCATTTTATGTAAACTGGTACTTAACATCACTCATTTTAATTGAGTTACATTTCTGTCGACCTCGTCGACCTTCTGGGCATTTATGTTCGCCTGGTACTTGAGAGGAATTTAGGGCAAATTTGGGACCGGCGGTGAGGGAGCCCCTTTGTACTACGTCATTTTTCGGATGCAAAAATATTTTTTGTCGACCTTCTGAGCATTTCCGTTCGCCTGGTATTTTGTCAGATTTAAAGAAAAATCTCGGCAGCTAGCGGTTGCCAACAAACGCCCCCACGGGTATGCAATATGTTTCTAAAGACCGTTGATTTTTTAATATTTAAATAAAAAAACCGGAATTTCGTTTTTTATTTTAAATAATTGATTTATTTATGTTTAAAATAACAAAACTGTTGTTTTTTATGCTAAATTTTAAATTAGCTATATCTGGCTTAATTGAAGTCCGATCCTGGAAAAAATAGCTTTATCAGTAGTGGAGGTCCTTAGAGCTCACTGTAGTCCTTAATTTCTCAGTCTGAAATGATAAAAGCATATTTAAAATAAACATATAAATAATTATACAAAAGCAGGAAAATAGGCTATAACTCGGGCATGTCCTTGCAGATTTTCAAAGGACATGGTGCGTTAGGATCGTATAGACCCCCTGCATCGATCTGCATCATTAAAATATGGGGTCATCTAAGAATCCCAGGACTTGTATTTTTACTTATAAAATTTCAGTCCCGGAGAGCATGAAAATGGATCATAAACACTAATCCTTGAATATCTCCGAAACTATAATGACGATCCTTATGAAATTTGGCCAGCTTGGCTAATACGATTTTTCTGACATAGGATACGCAAGGATACTCAAGGATATAGCAGAGTTATGGCCTATTTTCTCTTGCGAAAATTGCCCATAAAACTTCGCCGTTTGAAGGACTTTCGTCCTTTTTGTTATATTTTCTTGAATGGGAGGATAGGCACTATTTACTGTCAAAAGGACATCCCGATAGTCCTTCAAATGGCTAAGTTAGACCCGAATTGTTCGATTTTTGGCACTTTTGCGACTAACCCCCTATGAAAAATTTTGGTGAAATTTTTTGTCGAATCTTTGAAATCCTTGAATGCCAATCGATAGTTCTGGTCCCCACGAGTTCAAAAAGGTATATCCTTCCGATATCCTTAAGGATTTGGCCAAGATATGGCTACTTAAAAAATGTCCTTTTTACTAAAATACGCATATTTTGGAAACGGCAAGGACGATTTTGATGTCCTTTGAACAGTTTGAGGTCCTTATGTAAACAATTTGTTTGATACAGGACTTGTCACGATCCGCAAGGATAACGCCGAGTTATGGCTTTGTTAATTTGCGAAAGAATTTAACTTATATCTAGACTGTCTGAAGGACTTTCGTCCTTTTTATTATATATACTGAATAAGGAAGATAAGGACTTACGGTTGGCAAATTGACATCATGATCAGCAAGGATACGGCCGATCTACAGCCTTTTATCTCTACCGACAAAAATCTCTTTTCCTCAGCTCCTTGAAGGGTTTTCGTCCTTTTTATTACATATTCTATGTTGGACTACATGAGGTGGTCAATTTAATGTCCTTTAAAATAACAATATCCATATCTCGGAAACCATAAAGGCGATTTTGATGTCCTGTCCTGATGTTAACCCCTTGCTTTTTGCTCGATTTGTACAAAAGGAATATCCTTGTTGGATTTTTAGAAGTCTTAGAAGCGAATAGATTCCTTGAATCCTTCAATCTGAAAAGATAAAAACACATTTAAATAAAAAAGTCAAAGTTGGGATATAATGGTATATTTGGGAAAGAAATAGCCATAACTCGGCCATATCCTAGCAGATTTTTAAAGGACATGGTGCGTTTGAATCATAGAGACTAACTGCATCGATCTGCATTAAAAAATTATGTGGTCTTCGCAGAATCATGGACAAAATCATTGATATTTTGAAAACTACAAGGACGATTGGGATGTCTTTTGTTCAGTTGGTAGTCTTAGTTAACACAGTTTTTTCACAGGACTTGTGAGGATACGCCGGGATATGACCGATCTATATGCTTATTTGTGTGTACAAGAAAGTCCTTCTTTCTTGGGGGTATGAAAAACTTTTGTCCTTCTTATAGAAAATTTTTAATTTGGAGGATGAGGAGAGCTGACCAAAAGACATAGAAATCAACCTTTTAGTTTCCGAGATATGCATATTTTTCTGAACAGGACATTCTATTTATGGTTATAGCTCGGGCATATTCTTAAGAATATCCGAAGCATATACCTTTTTGAGCTCGTTGGGACCAGGACTATCGATTGACACTCAAGAATTTCCAGGATTCCACCAAAAATTGGTCCACAATTTCTACAAGGGGCTGAGTCCGAAAATCGAAAATTTCAGGACTTACGTTGAAACTTTAAGAACTATCGGGATGTACTTTGGACCGAAGAAAGTCCTCATCCTCCCATTTAAGAATATACAGCCCACAGGACTTAATCCTGACAAGTCCTGTGTCAACAAAATTGTATTGACAATGGCTACAAACTGGCCAAAGAGCATCGAGATCGTCCTTTTAGTTTCGAATATGTTGGCCATTTAGTGTCTTATGCCCATTTCCTGAAAAAATCACCAAGTCCTGGCCTCATAATATTCTTAGCTATTTGAAGAACATTTCTCGCATGTCCCCAATCGACAATATGAGGACGATATGATGACCAAAGGATATCAGCATAATTCCTGAACTGACAATGAAAATACCGATGAGTTCTCGGGTCAAACAATCGATAAGAATCGTTAATAACGGGCTGCATGTTTACATGTATTTGTGACTTTGAAAAAGTGGGTATTTAATAAATACTATTCGTTATTTGTAATTTACATTAGAAAAAATATTAAATTTCTAGCAGCGCATGTTATTGTATAAATTTTTTATGAAATTGTAATGAATTTTGTATGAAATTCAAAACATACATGAATTATGAGTCAGGGAGCAACGTCAGGGCACAACATGCCCAAAATGTACATAACTTATGTTTGTATAGAGAAATAGTATTTCGATATGTATTGAACCCTAATGAGCATCAACTACCAATGTCTGGCGGGCTCATTACCATTTTCAATTTGATCCAAGCCAAATAAACGAGTACTGTATTGAACTCAATATGAGAATTTCAATACATTCAACGTAAGCGGCAAATATAAATATTTGCTTTGTATTATGGTTTTTGGCTTGCAATGCACAATATGCCCTATACTTGTTGTGGGCGTGGTTTATTTATTGGTCCACAAGCCTGTGGGTTTTCAAATAGAGCCCACATGTTGTTTACTCAGGCATCGGTTTCTGACACTTTGGCCTGTACTCATTAATTACATTGTCAATAGGTAGGAATTGCCATGGTCATGTGATTTGAGAGCGATTTATGAACAGAACTGAATAACAAATAACAATCAAAATATAGGGGTATTTGCAAAGCTTATATTTCGTACCATGTTAACACAAGCCCGAGTTTAAAAATAATGATGAAAAATATTTGAAGATTTAAAGAAAGAAAAGGAAAAAGTTGGCAACATTTCTAACAATCCCTTATACAATAAAAATATTTCGTATGCTAGATATATTTTTTACAAAACTTTTGTAAATCCCAACCGATTTCAAAAGACTTTACTGCCAATACATATAGCAACAATTAACCCCTTTACAAATTATAGATATTGAACAGTTTAGGAATCAATTTGTATTTAAGAAAATTGAAAGAGAATGGGACACTTTTAAACAAATTCGGACAAATTCATAAAAATTAAAATACTAATATATTAATTTGCCAGCTTTATTTTTATGGGCTTGGACAGACCCAGCCCATGGCAAGCATAGGAAGAAGTTGAGTACGGTGCGTGAAACCAAATATTAAAAAAAAAAATTGGTATGTATATTTATATATTGCTAATCATTTTATTTTTTTTGTTTTTAAAATTGAGATCGAAAACGAATTCAGTATCATTGCGATCTGACAGCCGAAAGAATTTAGAATTTACTCTCAGCTTCGGCTCAATGAGGCATATTTGAATGTGTTGTTATTTACTGTTCTGGCATTTGCTGGCAAGAAATTAATTTTGTTAATCTTCTAGCGCTGACCATCACCTATCCCAAATTTGTGTTCACATATGAATGTATGTTTTGCACTGAGGTTGGTTTGGTAGAAAATTTATATTTTTAAGTCGATACAAATATTTGTATATAAATTAATACTTTTACAAATGGAGCGAATTAAACATTTACAATTAATAAGATTAAAAACATTAAAAACAAAAAAATTTGCACTGTTTTTTTTTAATTGGGGAGTAAAAATAATATTAATTTAATTAAAAGAAATTATACAAACATTAACATCGACTAAAAAATATAGATATTCTACCAAACCAACCTCAGAACATAACTTTGTATGATATGTAAGTAAGATTGTCATCTAATAATGATATTATATTCACATTCACAAATTAAAAAAAAATGAATAAACACGCGTTTGACAATGGCTAGGTCTGTTGTGTATGCATGACATACGCTTATTTCGCACGCGTATCACAAAGCCAACAGCATGTCCAATAAAAGGCTCCCGCACGCTCGCATATACAAATCCTGCAGAGAGCGAATGTAAACTGTCACCCACTGGTGCATACATTAAAGTATCAATGGCTTACAATAACAGGAACAGGCAGTAGAGACACATGCATACATTTTATATGCATATACTATATAGCTCACTCTTCTGGCAGCAAAACACATTCTCAAATTGAAAACCAATGCGCGCGTATTTACGAGCTTAGCAACTGAAGCTGCAAAAACGGATGACAGCCGCATTTAAAGTCGCTTTCAAACTGTGTTTGCACGCGTGTACAAGCCTTGTAAATATTTGAGCATCATAAATGGAAAACTTATGCATTAATAATACTCGCACATGTGCACATGCATCGGACGAGTTTGGTAACCGATCAGACTTGAAATAAATATATTGCTAAGACACTACCAAATCTCAGTTTTAGAAAAAGCTTCATAACTGCGCTGCCACACAAGAAGAATATATTAAAAGCATTGAGAAAATTTAATTTTCCAAGAAATATAGTCAAATATGAACAATGAAGCGTATTGGCCTGGAATATATTGTAGAGGAATATCTTTTTGTTTGTTTTTAATTATGATCGATAATGGAAAGAAAAACTAAAAAAGAAACGTTGGGAATCAATAGTACGGCAATTATACCAAACAGCTCTATGTACAGACACATGCCATTATATTGCGTATACGCAGTGCAGACCGGAAATCGTCATTGATAGGAGCAATTGGATCACGAGCATTCGAAACCATTTTCGCAGCTGAAGCAGAATAAAAAATTGATAAATAACACAATAGCTGAATTTTTTTCTATATTGTGTACATATGTGTGTGTGTGTTTTGGCGAGGGTGTTTTGTTGTGTGGCTTTTGTGGTTTTGTGTCGAGTGTTTGCGGTTTAATTTCTGGGGATTTGCACTGTTGCCGTAACTCGCAAAATAATCAGTTAATACGCCCAAGCACAAAGACACCCAAAAGTTGTGGGAATGTGTGTGTTTCCTCTAGTAATTGATGCCACTTTGAATGCAATTGAAAAGCGTAGCGATTAGAGAGCTTTAAAGCCGTCTAAAAACACTCAAACCTTAGGTGATTATTTTGAGGGCAACAACAACATAAATTATTATGCATAATAATAAAAATATAATACATATGCACTTTTAGTCGGCGGTTTTTAGAACTAAACTGCATTAAAACAATAAAAATTATAAATTTATCAATATAAAATATAAACAAGATATCAATAACCCAGAGTTTAAAAACAGAATTTTCTTTGATTGTTTAAACTTGTTTAGAATAAAGTGGATATGAGGATAGTCATTGATATGACCACATTATTGTTTAGCCATATGCATCCAGATTTTCAAAGGACATGGTTTGTTACGATCGTAAGTTAGGATCTAATTGCCGTTGTCACAATCATCGAATGTGCCCTCTATTGTGCCCTCTACTTGTATCTACCCAGCCATCAACGCAACCTTTAGCTTTAATTTCTTGGAGTTATACCCATAGATTTAGCCATTAAATACTTTGCTTTAATACCAATCAATAGTCAAATGGGACACGAATTGAAAGATGTTTTTTTTTTATGGAGTATTGAATTGTAGTTCTATGAATAAAGGTTTTTTCTAACAGCATCATGTGCAGCATTTGAGGGATTTATCTTGATATCACCGTATTTCAGCTTAATAACATGTTTCCATTGACTGTGCACTGCAGGCATTCCCAGGTGTAGATGTTGTCAATTAATATCAAATATGTCACGTCAATTTGCGCCAGCCCAAAAGGGGAAATGTTCTGACAGGATAACCAGCGCATGGCCACAACAGTAACTATTTCCATTTAATGTTTTTCTTATGAGTCCATGCGGCGTATACTTAATCAGTGATACCACACACGCACACACTCACGCACACACACAAAAACGGGGCTGTCCACTTAGCCAATTGAGAGACAATTTTCGATTC